GTCACAAAAGCACAGGAAAATCAAAAGAGACGGCATGATTCAAAAATAAAGAAACCCATAGAATATCAAATAGGAGATAAAGTCTTATTATATGAAGCTGCAAAAGAAAAAACTTAGACTGGAAAATTAGAAGATAAATGGAAAGGACCATTTTATATCCATGACAAATTATTGAATGGAACTTATAAGTTAAAATCTATAGATAGACGAATTCTTAAAACACCAATCAATGCAAGTTTATTGAAGGTTTACACTAATCGACAAAATTGGAATCCTGTGATTCATTTGGAATAAACATTGTCAAAAGTATAAAAGGACCTGAAATTCCTTTTGTCAAAACCTTAAATTTTACAAAATGAGTTTTAAAAATTTCCAACAAATGAATCAGTTCATCAACAAATACAAATCTGACATTGAAAAGGTTGAAAATGCAAGACATATAATCGAAGAAAATAAAGCCAAACTTCTTTCAATCTTAAGAGGATTTGGAAAATGTTAAAAAAGAGAATGAAAAACTAATTGAAAAAAACAAGGAATTGGAAGAGAAAGCAAAAGAACAAGTCGTAGTATGAACTATTTGAATAGGTCACTATTTTATTTTTATTTATACTCACTTTTGAGTTTTCTTTTTGACTATCATTCATATATAATGTATTTTATATAGAAGTGCTTTGGCAATTACCCATACTTGATTTCAATTGGTAGATAGAAATGTATGGATTTCTCTTTTGTCCCTCCTAGTGATGAACCAAATGCACTTGGTTGTTTCTTGTAAGGTGGGTGATTAGGATTTTTGCATCTGCTTCAATTAGTCTCTGGCAAATTCCCATATTGATTTGAACAACATTCAAAACACCTCTGACTAGTTACCGTTCTCTCAAACTTCTTCTGTTTTAGTCTCATGTGTTTGACTAACTCCAAATTCGCCTTCCGTAAACACTTCTTGAAAATTGCCACCTAATCATATTCGACCTTTGGGAAAAAACTAATTCTGAAGAATTAATTTTCATAATGGATAAAGTCTATCAAGAGAACATTGAAGTGGAACTTATTAAAAGCAAAATTCCTAAAGAACTTATTAGAAAAAGAAAAACGCAAAAGGAGTATGCTTAAGAACTTGGAATTACTCTATTAGCTTTATCCAAACATATTAGAAGAAGAAAGAAAGATTCTTCGACAGAGCTCAAATCAAAGAAGAGGAAAATGTAACAGTGTAAAATTTTGGCTAAAATCTGATTACAAATCCAATGTCAATTAAATGTTCTTGTTTATCATTTCATCAATCCTGATGTCAACTTTATGTTCTGAGATAATCAATGTGAAACATTGTAGGTCCAGATGTCAATTTTATTTCCAGTGTAATGGGTAACTTTATTGACATGATAATCTTTGCTGATCAATTTTGTCAACTTTATTTCCTTGACGATGTCATTTATTTTTCATAGATTTATTTAGTTTAGTTCATTTTATAATTATCAAACATGTATAAATATCACTGTATTTTTATTAAGTCTTAATACCTTACGAGATAGAGAACTTACAATTTATTATATTATTAATAAAGAGTATAATTAACTAAGTTAAAACTTATCCTTCGCAACCCTTTTAACCTGTGTATATATTATTATTGTTTATTAACTTTGCGTGGTATTATATTGATTCGTTATATTGACTTAAGGTGTAGTCACTGAAACATAATCTCTGAAATATCCAGAAGTTACTTGTGTTTAATTGAGAATAATCTTTGACGTTTACTACAGATCTTCACTGTGATTCCCTGAGTTTAGTCTTAGCATTATTTAATTTTGTGAATTTTATTTGAGTTACAAATCAGACGCAACAACACTAACTTTGAAATCCTGGTAAATAATGTATAAATGCTTCTTCAGTATCAACCTGACCTTCATGAATATCCAAATTTTTTAAAAAATCTAACATTGTTAAAACTTGAGATGAAAAAAAAGCAATTTGTGAATTTGTAAATTGTGATGGTTGTAAAAATTGAGGCGGTTGAAAAAATGAAGCAAATATTTGAAAAGGATTAATAAAAGAATTATTTGGAAAGAGATTATTCATATTAGTTAATGTTTGTAAAGAATTTGAAAAAAATAACTCAGAATTTGATTTAGCATTTTTTTTAGAAGAATTTTTAACAACAAACAATGGATGTGTTGGTAGATCAGTTATATTTGCTAATCCTTTTGCCTAAAAAAAAATTAATTAATTTTATTCTTTAATATAATAAATAAATAATTATTTAATTATTACTATTTCAGAACTCCAAATTAAAAGCATCATAAAAGTAATTTCAATATATGCATTAAAAGGAGCATCTTGATTCAAATAAGGTCGATTATGATTTTTATAATGATGATGATTCCGAATTTTAATACATTTTTAGCCATTATAGTATCTATTGTCAAAAGTTAATCTGCTTTAGGAATACAATTGTTATTTTTATGTAATTTTCTTGATAAATTATTACTATCATCATTAGGATCTATTTGCTAATTATATTATTATATTAGTAAATATAGATAACTATTTTTAATTATTGTTTAATTATAAATGTT